GGTGTAGCCATGGGCATCGCTGGCTCAGATGCTGCGAAAAATGCAGCCGACATGATTCTGTTGGATGACAACTTTGCTTCCATTGTGACAGGCGTGGAACAGGGTCCGAGCTGGGCCAAGGAAAGTGGGGGGCGGGGGATGGGCAGTGTGTGGGCTCAGGAGGAAATGGGCTGGGAGGAGGCTGATGTATCTGCTGCCTCCCTACAGGCCGGCTGATCTTTGACAATCTGAAGAAGTCTATCGCGTACACCTTGACCAAGAACATTCCAGAACTGACACCCTACCTCATTTACATCACCGTCAGTGTGCCCCTGCCCCTTGGGTGCATCACCATCCTCTTTATTGAGCTCTGCACTGACATTGTGAGTTCAGTCCCCAGGCCCTGTGCTGTGGTGCCCCACCCCCAGACCCACGCCCCCAAGTGGCCACAATAGGCCAAGATTAACATGCCTCTGTGTGTGTGTGTGTTGCTGCTACTGAGGCTTGAACTCAGGGACTGGACACTGTCCCTGAGCTTTTTTTCACTCAAGGCTAGTGCTGTGCCACTTCAGACACAGAGGTGGAGAGTGACAGAGACATGGAGACACAGAGAGAGACACACACAAAAGCAGAGGCAGTCATAGAAAATGGCTAGAGACTAGACACACAGAAACTAAGAATCCAGGAACTGGATGGCTGTAGTACATTCCTGTAACCCAAGCTACTCAGGAGGCTGAGATCTGAGGATCTTAGTTTGAAGCCAGTATCTGGACAAGCAAGTCTGTGAGACTCATCTCCAATTAATCAGAAAAAAGCTCACATGGTAGAGCACTAGTTTTGAGTGAAAAAGCTAAGAGATAGGGGCTGGAGAGGATGGAGGAGAGGGAGAAAGTAAGAGAGCCAAGGACAGCGCAACAAAAGCTAACCTTTTAATGGAGATGACACATTACCCAGACGGGCCGCTGCAGGCCCTGTCTCTTGTTCTTGCCTGGTGGGTGGAGGATGGCTGGAAGTGTGGGACAGGACCCTGGCCACCCTCAGCTCTGCTTCCTTCTGCTCTTGGCCAGTTCCCATCTGTGTCCCTGGCGTATGAGAAGGCAGAGAGTGACATCATGCACCTGCGTCCGCGGAACCCCAGACGCGACCGCTTGGTCAATGAGCCCCTGGCTGCCTATTCCTATTTCCAGATAGGTGAGCGTGCATCGGGGCTCTCCTTGCTGCACACACCTGCCTGGGTGTCTGATCTTAGGTCCCCTATATCCCTGCTTTCCCTTGGGTCTTTGTTTCTGAGGGTTCTCTACATTTTTCTGTATCCCTTTCCCCTTTTTCTGCCTCTGTCTCATGTCTATCTCAGGGCCTTGATTTTTTTTTTTTTTGGTCCTGGGGCTTGAACTCAGGGCCTGAAAGCTGTCCTTGACAATTTTGCTCAAGACTAGTGTTCTACCATTTTGAGCCACAGCTCCACTTCCAGTTTTCTGGTGGTTCATGGTTGATAATCTCACAGACTTTCCTGCCCAGGCTGGCTTCAAACCTTGATCCTCAGATCCCAGGTTCCTGAGTAGCTTGGATGACAGGTGTAAGCTATCGGCGCCCGGCTTTCTCTTGATCTTGACTTAATGTCCCTGCCCCTCCCTGCTGCCCACCTCTTTCCCAGGGGCCATCCAGTCTTTTGCTGGCTTCGCCGACTACTTCACGGCCATGGCGCAGGAGGGCTGGTTCCCTCTGCTGTGCGTGGGGCTGCGGCCACAGTGGGAGGATCACCACCTACAAGATCTGCAGGACAGCTATGGCCAGGAGTGGGTGAGCTCCTGTCCACCCAGTCCTGGGACTGCCCTGATCCTGTGCTACCTGATCTGGGGCAGTCCACCACGGCTCTATGGGGACAGGCTAGCCAGCTGTGCTGGTGCCTTCTTGGAGGCAGATTGCCTGGGCTTGTGGTCTGGTATGGCTTTGACAAGATGTGTGACCTTGGGCAAGTTGCTTTGCATCTCTGTGCCTTGTTTCCCACTGGTCTCTACAAATCCTGCCTTGGGACTCCAGTCCTTCCTTTCCGGGCCTCTCCCCTGGGCTGTCAGGAAGCTGCTTCTCTGCTTTGGTTGTGAATGCCAGGCAGCTCGGTGCACAGCCTGTGCAGCAGCATCCGAGCTCTGCATGCTCAGGTCACACAGAGCCAGCAGCCGAGCCTCCTGTGAGGGGAAGGGAGGCATGGGGGGTCCTAGCCCAGGGCCATGGGGCCCCCGGGGGTAGCTGATCTGCCTGGGCTCAGGCTGGCTTGGTTTTGTCCAGACGTTCGGGCAGCGCCTGTACCAGCAGTACACCTGCTACACCGTGTTCTTCATCAGCATCGAGATGTGCCAGATCGCAGACGTGCTCATCCGCAAGACGCGCCGCCTCTCGGCTTTCCAGCAGGGCTTCTTCAGGTGACCCCACTGTTCCCTGCATGTCCACCCCTCGTCCCCCTACCCCCTGGCACTGGTCCCTCCCCATACTGGCAAGCCCCCGCACCACCACGGCAGGCTGTGCACTGGTGCATTAGTCCTTGCTGATGCAGTGGGGGGACTGCCACCGCAGAGTTACAGCCACCCCATGTTTAGTGTCTGGGGACGCCCCGCTGCCACCACTTTTAGTGCACCGTGACTCAGTGCTGAGTTCCCAGCCTGCCTGAGCTTGTCCTCCCTCCCTGGCAGGAACCGGATCCTGGTGATCGCCATCGTGTTCCAGGTGTGCATTGGCTGCTTCCTGTGTTACTGCCCGGGGATGCCCAACATCTTCAACTTCATGCCGATCCGGTGAGGGGCTGGGGCTCGGCGGGGGGATGGGGTGTGGGGTGTGGACATGGTCTGGGCATTGCCCTCACCCACCGCCCCCCTGCACCTGCAGCTTCCAGTGGTGGCTGGTCCCCATGCCCTTTGGCCTGCTCATCTTCGTCTATGATGAGATCCGCAAACTTGGAGTTCGCTGTTGCCCAGGGAGTGAGTGTAGGGGCTGGGTGCCCCTGACTTGTGATCATCTACCGCACCTCTCAATCCTCTCCCAGCCCACCCCCCAACTCATTCCCTCACCTTGGGGCCTGGCTCCCCACTTCGCAGGTCTTGCTCTAAGCCTTCTCCTCCCCCCCTCCCCTAGGCTGGTGGGACCAGGAACTCTACTATTGAAAGGACACTGTGCCTACTACAGGCAGAAGGGGGTAGACACATGGCTCCTCCACAACAGCTGCACAGCCAAACAGTGTCACGCCTGCACCTGTGCGTGTCCCATCCAGAGGCCCTGCCCACTGTTCCCCCAGCCCATCCCTGCCCCTGAGCCCGGAGAAACAGCTTCCCAGGGGGCTGGTACCTCCCAGTGGGATGTGTGGATGGAAGCGTGGGCCTGGGGGCTGCTGGGTGGAAAAGTTCACACTGCCTGAGAGTAATAAAACCATCCCGCTCTGCAAGCTGGGCAAGTGCCATCCAGACTCTGTTGCTTAGCTTGTCATACCCACTGGGCCCACAGGCACTGGTCCCCTGCACATCCCGACATGGCATCTAGGCCACCACCACCACCACCTTGACCAGCTCTGGCCTCCTGGCTTCAATTTCCACTCAACAGTCATGGCCTGGACCCGTCCTTCCCCCTACCTACAATTCCTCCTTGTCCTGTTCAATTCTCAGCCACACCTCCATCAGCCTAGGCTCCATTGGAAAGCACCTCTGGGGTCAGGGGCCGGTGTCTGGTACTTGTTTTCTTGGCTACTCAGTTGGATGAGATCTGAGGATCATGGTTTGAAGCCAATCTGAGCAGGAAAGTCTATGAAGACTTTTATCTCCAATGAATCACCAAAAAAAGCTAGGAATGGAGCTGTGGCTCAAGTGGTAGAGCGTTAGCCTTGAGTAAAACTCAGAGACAATGCCAGGCCCTTCAGTTCAAGCCTCAGGATTGGTGTGCATGTGCATGAGCATGCGCTCACACACACAGCACCACTTATAGGTTCCACAGACCCGTTACAAACCTGAGGCCTGGACCCTTACTGTCCTACTGCCCAGGCTTCCATCCCAGCTCTGCCATTTCTGGCCCATGATCTCACAGAACATCTCCCCAGGTGGGGTGCGTCCCATCCCCCTTCCTCTAGCATGAAGTCAGATGATCAATGACTCCCAGGTCTGACCAGACATCTACCTGTGGAGTGGGGCCAGCTGATGGCTTCCCATCAGAGGACAAACGATCTTTCTAGAAACAGCAAGACTAGCATAGGAGAGCCAAACAGAGCTGTCTCTTCCTAAGACCTCATGAGCTTGGCAGAGAAAGGATGAGCCATTGGGAACAGCAGGGTTGGGCACCTCACATGACGATGATGATGGAGCTGGAAGCATGGCACTCCAAGTCCTGCCTGACACGGAGGCCCACAGGAGAAAGGGATGGGGTGCAAGGTGGGCGCTGGCAGGGGGGTGAGCCCGGCAGGACACTATGCCAGCTGGTCAGGCTGTTTGCTATTTGGCTGTAACTGAAATAGTCCACCACTCTGAGGAAGACACAGGGCAAGGATTTCCAAAAGCTACAGAACTGAGTGAAAGCACTGAAAAGCCAGGATCCAACTGTGGTAGCTTGAATGAATACTAACAGAGAGAGAGAGAGAGAGAGAGAGAGAGAGAGAGAGAGAGAGAGAGAGAGAGTGTGTGTGTGTGTGTGTGTGTGTGTGTGTGTGTAGTGAGCCAGTGGCACTGGGCTTAGTGATCATCTACTTCAAGACTTCAGTCCACTGTGGGAACCTCAGGAGCCCGAGGACCTACTCCAGGAACACAGAACAAGGCTGGGGGCTGGCAGTACCCCATCCTGTCTACTTGGTTTTCTTTTCTTTTGTTGGTCGTGGGGCTTGAACTCTGGGCTTGGGCGCTGTCCCTGTGTTCTTCAGCGCAAGGCGAGTGCTCTACTGCTTGAGCCACAGCGCCACTTGGTCTACTTGGTCGCAGAGGCAGAACAAAGAGTCTTTAGCACAGATATGGGCATGAAAGTGGCAAACATGACAGGGAAACAGAGGCAGGAACAACTTTCCAAATACTGTTTACTTCATAAACACCTGGAGAGAGGCAGGGAAACAGGTCCAGTGACTCTGGGACACCAAGTCTAGGAGTGCACATTGACGACGGCGATGTACAGGGCCAAGGTACTGAGGGCCAGCAGCCCCGTGACTACCGCTCGGGCCAGCAGCGCTGTCCAGCTGCCCAGGGAGCAAAGGTGTACAAAGGTCCTAGAGGGAGACAGCACTGTGAGGAAAGGAGAAGAGAAAACTCACCCTCCTTTGCACCCAGCTTCAAATCCCACTCAACTCACTCCATGACAAACGCCTTGTAGACACTAAGAAACATGAGGAGGAGGACGGCTGGCCGGAAAGTGTGGTAGAGGTCGTAGCGTGTGATCATCCAGACCTGGGCTGAGGCGACGATGTAATGCACCTGGAGAGGGAGAAGCAGGAGGGAAAGCAGTCAGGGCCAGGCTTTCGTGGGCAGTGGCAGCACACACAGGTGGTGAGGAGGGGCAGATGCCGACTACGCACCAGGCTGATGTTGGAGTCGATGCTCATCTGGATGTATTTCCAGTCAAACTCAATGCCCCGTGCTCCGACCCACAGGGGGATGCAGCTGAGGAATGCAAAGAGAAGCAATCTCTGGTACCCAGACACCTTCTACATCCAAACTCCAAACCTTCTCCTGCCAGTATCTCTGTAGAACCCAGGGTGTCCCTGTCCTCAAGGGACAGAGTTCCAGATTGTTCTACACACCGGGACATAATGAGTTCTGCGGTGGCCCAGCCAAGGGCAGCTACCATGATCTTGTACTCTCCCTTGCCGGCATTCCGGGACATGACAAGGTTGAGGCCTATCAGGTCTGCCACATCCACGCTGGCCTTCATGAATTCCTGTGGGTCAGGTGGAGGCTGACATAAGCACTGGGGTATAACAGGTGGGCCATTCTTGTCCCTCCCCACATCCTTCTGGTCTCACTCACCCCAATGAAGTCATAGATGCCACCTTCCCAGGTGGGGAAGAAAGTGGCCAAGAACAGCATCTGAAAAGAGAAAGCAGAAAGGTCACCTCCAGGGAAAGGGAGAAGGGGAGCTAAGCCACTGTGGGTTTGATGGGAAGTTAGGGTGCAGATGGGAAGCAGGGAACTTGGTTCCAGGGGCTCATCTGGAAAAGGTGGCGAGATTGCATCCATCTGGAAGAGGTGGTGAGATTGCATCATGGGGGTTGACAGAGGAGGAGGTGCTTTGGCCTCTTAAGGGGCTGAAAGTTCTCAGAGGATGGGGGCTAAGTCTAGAAAGGCTGGAGAGAGATCAGTGGGTAACAAGGAGATCCACCACCCTGGAGCATGGCTCAGTTGGTAGAGTGCTAGCCAGAGGCAAAGTGACAAATGGTGGGTTCGAGTCTGTCTCGCAAAAGCAGAACAGTACTTAAGCCAGGAGCTGGTGGCTCACACCTGTAATCCTAGCTACCCTGGAGACTGAGATCTCAAATTGTGGCTCAAGACCAGCCAGGGCAGGAAAGTCCCTGAGACTCTTATCTACAAGAACCACCAGAAGACCGGAAGTGGCTCGGCTCACAGTGATCTAGAGCTAGCCTTGAGCAAGAGAGTTCAGGGATAGTACCTAGACCCTGAGTTCAAGCCCTATGACCGACTAAAAATTAAAAAAAAATTAAGACCAACTCGACAAGTGAGATTTTTCTCCATTTTAATCACAAGTGCTTAGAAAAAGTAGCTTCACGATCTCACCCCGGGTTCATACACACGATCTTTCTAAAGTGCGTCGGGCTATAGGATGGGGGAGGGGAGGAGGGGAGGTTCCCCAACGTCGGGGAGCTGGCTCCCAGGGATCTGGAAAGCCTAGAGTCCAGAACACGTGGGTCCGGGAGGCCCTCACCTTGCATAGCTGCACAAAGAGGTAGGTGACCCCGGCCTGGACGCATTTCCAGAAGGCGTTGTACTCAGACCTGGAGAAGCGGTCGGTGAGCGGCCGGCCCGGCAGGCGGGGGACGTCCCTCCCCGCACCCACTCGGAACCCCCGCGCCCGCTCCGCCCGCACTCACAGGCCGCTGCACTTGTACGTGATGAAGTAGGGAAAGTAGGCCAAGGCGAAGCAGTTCCCGAAGTGGAACAGAGTCATGACGCCGGCCGCCCGGTCCCCGCCGCAGCGGGAGTCACCAGGCACGGCGTCTCCGAGCCGGGTGCCTCGGTTCTACCGGCGCCCGGGCCAGGCGCCCACTTGACTGGGTCGCAGTCTGCGCGCGAAGCCCTCTGGGAGTTGTAGTCCAGCTCCGGGGAAGCGTCGCGCGCAGAGTGACGTCAGAACACCCACCACACCCGGTCTTTAAACTTTTCCGCTGGTCCCGTCCACGCCCCGTCTCCGCTGGGGAACCGGCGCCGTCCCCTTCGGACGCCCGCTGTCGAACCCAGACCTCCACCCACCCTGAGCGGCGCAGACACACCGACACCGTTACCAGTACTCTTTTTTTTTTAATTTCAACGCTTCCGCGGGAGAGGTGGCCGACACCTTGGGCGGGAACGCCGGAAGTAACGAAAGGGGCGTTCCCAACGGAAGTGGCGAGGAGGGCCTCTCCCGCCGGAAGCGGAGGAAGGGGGAGCGTTTCCGCTTCACTTTTCCCGGCTGTACATGTAGCGGAGGAGGTCGACTACTCGGTGGCTGTAGCCGTATTCGTTGTCGTACCTGAGGAAAGGGAAGACAAAGGCGTCGAGGAGGGGCGGGTGTGTCTGTCTGTCTGTCTGTCTTTCCGACCCCCGCCACCCCCAGACTTCCCCTACAGTCATCTAACTCCTTTACCAGGAAATGAGCTTCACGAAGCTGTCGTTGAGGGCGATGCCGGCCTTCGCATCGAAGATGGACGAGTGGGTATCGCCGAGGAAGTCCGTGGAGACCACCTGGGTGTCGGGATTTCAGAGATGGGGGGCAACTTAGCAAAGATCTCCAAGGAGGCCAGGTACCCCCTCTTAGGCACCTCGTCCGTCTGAGAGTTCCGTGCCTGGGGAAAGGGCACACGGCCCCTGCACCGGGGGCTCACGCCTGTAATCCCACCTACTCTGCAGGCTGAGATCTGAGGATCGCGGGTTCGAAGCCAGCCCAGGGAGATAAGACTGTGAGACACTTTTATCTCCAGTGAACCACCACCAAAACCCAGAACTGGAGATGTGGCTTAAGTGCTGAAGCACCAGCCTTGAGCAGAAAAAGCTAAGGGATAGCTCTCAAGGCCCTGAGTTCAAGCACTATTACTGTCTCATACATATACACACAGAGGACACACCATTGCTAATACCCTTAAACATTCGGGGAACAATGCAGGTAACTTGGCATGGATATGGGGTAGCCTTGAACTCGTTTTTCTTTTTTTTTTTTTTTTTAAAAGATATAGTTTTATTAAGGTGTTGTACAGAGAGGTTACCGTTTCATGAGTCAAGTAATGAGGACTTTTCCCTCCTTCCCTTCCTTTCTTCCTTCCCTTTCCCCCAATTTCCCCCTCCCATCCCTGCTCACAAGTTGCATAGTTCATTTTCCATGTAGGGTTTACTGAACAGCATGATTACATATTGAAACCTGGGTTTTGATGGCAGAGGCCCGTCCATTCCTCCACTCAGCACTGGGTCTGAGGTGGAAGGAAGTCCCCGCTGGTGAAAAGGGACACGGGAGGGTTTCCAGCAGGAGGGTTGATATCTGATCTGAACCACGTGATCCTGGCATGAAGGAGGGTGGATTGGAGTTCAGATGGGGAGGAAGTGAGGGCAAACCCAACTGGGGTCCAGTGTTACAGGCTAAAGCAACTTCAGGTGTAAAGACCCCTGAGACAGGAGTGTATGTGCCTAGCTCTGCAGTGCCTGTGTTGGTACACTGAGAACAGTTCTCACGGAGAGCAAGTAGAACTCGGAGCCTCCACTCTTCCCTTCCAGGGTCTTAGCTCTTACCAGGTCCTCGGTGTACGCAAGGATGCCCGCCAAGGGCCCCTTGGCTGCTTCTTTTACAGCATCCTTGATGGCAGAGTAGGGGGCAGGGCGGGCCAGGCGGCAGGTCAGGTCCACCACAGACACATCTGGAGTTGGCACCCGAAAGGCCATTCCTGTTAGCTTCCTGAAGAATTCCACATGAGGGGTGGGACTCAGAACCCAGACACCTTGCCTTGCATCTGGGTAAACCACTGAGGATCAGGGACCCTCCAGTCCTGGGGGCATGGTCCCCACCCCGCTTGCAGGGTCCTCCTACCCTTTGAGCTCTGGGATAACTTTGCCCACAGCACTGGCTGCCCCCGTGGAGGCTGGGATGATGTTCTGGTGGGCACCCCGTCCATCTCGCCAGGCCTTTTTCGATGGGCCATCCACGGTCTTCTGAGTGGCCGTATAGGAATGGACTGTGGTCTTGGGGAAAGAAGAGAGTGTTGAGCTGAAGGCTTTGTCTCTCCTAGAAGAGCGTTGGAGGCCTATGGGCCATCCTGGGCTGACAACAGGAGTGGTGACAACAGCCTTGCCTGAGGGTTAGGGGTATCTTTTCCTTTTGGAGATGTCTTTCTGCTGACTCCATATTTGGGAAGAAGAGATTGGATTTCTGTGACATCCCTTGCCCCCCCCTCCCCCCGAGATCCGGCCTCAACTTACCATGAGCCCTTCCACAATCCCAAATTGCTCATGGATGACCTTGGCGAGGGGGGCCAGGCAGTTGGTGGTGCAGGATGCATTGCTGAAACAGTCGAGGGGTGCCCTTAGTCTTTGGGTATGCACCAAGGCCAGTAAGGCGCCCCTCCCCCAGACGAACAAGGTGCCATGGACGCGGGAGGAGGAAGCATCCTAAACAGGTTCTCTGGAGGTCTTGCTCCCTCCTGTCCCTCTTGCAGGGCAGGGGATGGAAACTCAGGACCTTTGCACATGCTAGGCAAAGCTGGCTACCACTCAACCCCTCCCCACCCCAGCCCTGCATGTCTAACCGGTAGTCAGGGTGACCTCTGAGACTGCGCATTACCTGACGATTTTCATGGAGCCAGGGTTATATTCCTTTTCATTCACACCCATGACGAACATCGGAGCATCCGGGGAGGGCGCGGAGATGACCACACGCTGGGCACCGGCGTTGATGTGTGCCTGGGGAAGTGGCATGGGGGAGGGGGGATCAGGTGCTTCAAGTGCCCCTACCCCCACCCCATCCAGCCCTGGACACCACACCCCGACTTACTGAAGCTGCCTCTAGGGACAGGTACACGCCCGTAGACTCTACCACATAGGGGCTCCCCAAATCCTTCCAGGGGATTTCTTTGGGGTCCTTGCTGTGGAGGGGGGTAAGATCAGTGTTTCTGGGGGGCAGTCGGGGCCAGGGCTTCAGAATTTAGTCTTCACCACTGAAAGGCTGACTTGACACCTGCTTGACCGGCCACCACCCTCTCCCTTCCCTCATGCCCAGATGGTTGCCCAGCTGCTGGGCCTTGCCCCTCCTCCACTCCCATCCCTCATCAACTTGGTACCCACCAGAGCGCAGAGTCTGTGATGTCAGGGTCTGCGAGGCTGTACACTGCTCCCAGCCCTGAACACCCTTGTCTGAAGCCCGCCTAGCCCCTCTAGTCTTTAGCACTCAGCCCCTGGCCCAATGCCAGTTTCCTGGCATCCGCAGGGCAGACTCCGTGTGCAGAGGCTGCAGGCAGCGTGCTTACAGAGGAAAAGTGCGTGTGGCTTTCTGTGGCTTGAATAGAGTTCCCCTCCCCCCACTGAGAATTGAACTCAGGGACTCTCCAATGCTGGGCAAACACTCTACCACTTGAGTCCTGTTGTGGAGGGGGAGGAGAGAGAGAGTGTGTCCTGGGGCTTGAACTCAGGGCCTGGACATTGTCCTTGAGCTTTCTCTCCTTAAGGCTGGCACTCTACCACTTGCCACTTCCACCTTTTTGATGGTTCATCAGAGTTGAGAGTATCACAGACTTTCCTGCCTTGGCTGGCTTTGAACTGAGATCCTCAGATCTCAGCCTCTTGAGTAGCTAGGATTACAGGTGTGAGCCATTAGTGTCTGACTCTAGGTAGAGCAGTTGCTATGCCTAAGAATGGAGGAGGGGGGCTGCAGATATTTCTTGATCATTTTAGGGGCCAAGGACCTTTTTTAACCCTGTCTCCAAATGCATACCCACAGACACACTCTCTCTCTCTCTCTCTCTCTCTCTCTCCTCCCTCTCCTCTCCCTTTCTCTCCCCCCCTCCCCCCCCCCCCCCTTAGACAGTGTGGGGCTACAAACTCCACCGAAGGGGCTGGTGTTACCTACCATTGGTACAAGCAGATCTCCCGGTTGTCCACAACCAAGCGTCCACCCTTGTGCTCCACATTCCCTTTGTATCTGCCATGTGTCGAGTCATACTTGAACATATATGCCTGCAGGGGACAGGGGGTCCCAGTCTAGAGGAGGAGGAGGTGCCCAGAGGGCTGCCCCTGGGCTGGAAGTTCCACCTTTTTGGGTGAGAGTAAGCACTGGGTGGGGGGGCCTTGAACTCAGGGCCTTGTGCTCTCACTCGGCTTTTTTCACTCAAGACTGGTCGATGCTCTACCACTTGAGCCACACCTCCACTTTTGGCTTTTTTTTCTGGTTAATTACTGTTAAGAGCTTCACAGACATTACTGCCTGGGCTGACTTCAAACCCTGATCCTCAGATCTCAACCTCTTGAGCTGCTAGGATGACAAGCACGAGCCACCGATGCCCAGCTATCTGAGGACTTTTCTAGGAGACCTCCCTCATTTTCCTCCTCCATCCCACCCCTCTGCTCCCTCCCCCACCCCCAGTCTGCTGCTCACCATGTATTCTGGATCGATAAATGGGTCATTTATTGCCACCACCTTAACGCCCTTCTCCATGCAGGCTCGCAGCACCAGGCGACCGATGCGTCCGAATCTGTCCAGGGAAACACCATGCCGAGGAAAGGGTGAGGGGAGAGAACTGGAGAGGGTGTGTGGTTTCAACACATGCTTCTCCCACCAAAACTCACGTTAAGAGGGAATCCCACTGGCGCCTCAGCAGAGGTGGGAACTTGGGGCCGCCAGGCTTTCTCTAGCAAGGTGCAGAGCTGGCTAAGCTTCAGTCACCCCAGCCTCATCCATGGCCCCTTTCCTGACCAGGTTGGTAAGGCCTACACTTAATTCCATCTGCTTGGGTATTTGAACGGTTCCCCCTCCTCCAGTCCCCCAGGTGGAGCTGTCCAAGGTATCCCTGCTCTGTGGACAGTCATGGAAATGGAATAGAAATAGAGAGATGTTCCAGCT